CAGGAAAAGCTACCAACTTCAGACCAGCCCACCTGTGTGGCCATTTGGAAAGGGAATCAACAGACAGAAAATGTAGATAAATGAATGCATGATCATTAATACTTTAAGAGCAGAGTGTGTGTGTGTGTATGTGTGTGTGTGTGTGTGTGTGTGTGTGTGTGTGTGTGTGTGTTTTAATATTTATTTGAAAGAGCCACAGAAGAGAAGACAGAGATCTCCCTTCTGCTGGTTACTCCCTAGGTGACTGCCACAGGCCAATCTCAAAGCCGATCCAAGAGCTTCACATAGGATAGGTTAAGGGGTCCAAACACCTGGGCCATTTTTCGTGTCTTTTTTCCCAGACCATTAGCAGGGAGCTGGATTGGAAGTGGAGCAACGTAGACTCATACGGGTACCCCTAGTTGATGCCAGCTTTGCAAGCAGCAACTTCACTTGCAATGCCACAGTATCATCCCTTAAAAGTAGATTTTAATATTATAAAATCAGGATTTTATTTAAGTGTTGATATTTGAAATAACTTTTAAAAACCTGTTTTTAAATTTGGGGGAGCATCTATCTCATGAGACATTTCAGGATACGTTTTTTTTAACTTTCACAAGCAAAATTTATGAAACTCATTTTAGAATCTATTCTGTTAACCAAAAAAGTAGATGCCTCTCCATTGATTTGATTCTTTGTTTTGATAATTTTATTCATAGTAAACCAGAATGGGCTTTAGAAGTGCCCCAAGTACTTTGCTTTGCTCAGATGTGTACTGGAATTTTTTATTTTATGGCTTGAGTAGGTTATATGTTGGAAACGCTTATTAAGTGTGGCTGGCAATTCCAGGTTACAAATTAAGATTAAGAAATAACTGGCTTGTGCTTCATGGTACTTGGCATACTAAAATACTGCACATGGCCGAAGTGTAATGGTGCCTATTCACGTCTGTAGAAATTAGCTGTTTGACATCTGTTTTGAACCCCTAGTGTGTGCTAGAATTATGTTTTCTCAAGGCCTTACAGCTGGGGGCATAATAAATCCTTGATGAGAATTTCATGCTGCTATGACTTGCTTTATGTGCCCGAGTCAAGTTTTCCCCTTTCTTTTGCTCTTTGGGAAAAGGCAGCTGTTGAATGTGCAGAGCATACTGTGGAACTGAGACTTGGCTTACAGGGCTGCAGATCCCCGAGAGTGGCAAGCAGCAGGAGTTGTTTGACTTTGCTGCTCGTGTCCCGCTCATTACCTATCACAAACTCCCCCTCTAGCAAATCAACAACCGGAACCTTCAGAAACACCTTGGGTCTATCTGCTTGGCTTCTTACCTGTTCCACCTGCCCCTTTCCCCCGAACTCCCACAGTGCCTAGAAGGCACTAGAAGGCCTAGAAGCCCAGAGGGCTTCCCTTCCTTCCAGATCACTTCAGGTTTGCTGAGAGAGAAGCCAACTTGATTGGTTCCTTGATTGACACAGATACTCTTCAGCTTCCAGCCTGTCCATTGCTATTTCCATTTCTGTCCCATGCCATCTGTAGAATAACACCTGCGTGTTCCGGGATGGACCCATTAGGGCAAGTCCAGCTCAGTGGGGTGTAAGTACACTCACAGGCATTGGCAGTGTCAGGAGGAGACATGCTTAGCACATGGATATCCAGGCTCTTTGGACTCACGGTGATTTTTTTCCCCTTTTTGTCTCAGTGCTTCTCTTACGAAGCTCCTAAGCCAAAAGGAAAGCTGAACAGCTTCTGACTAACCTAAAACGTATCTATATCCTGACAGCATTGCAGACATTTGCAGCTAAGGGGGGCAGGCAGGGGCAGGAGTGGGGGATGTTCTTCAGAGATTACGTGGATAATGCGTACTATGACAAAACTATGCATAGGTTCCCTTAGTTGGTTGCATTGAAATAAATTTGCTGTTTATTTTCATTTTGGTGAGGTGTTTCAAGTAGCTTATTTTGTTTTCATTTTTGTTTGAAAGGCACATTTAGAGAGATCTTCTATCCCACTGGTCCGTTTCCTAAATTGCCCCAATGGCCATAGCTGGGTTGATCCAAAGTCAAGACTTGGGAACTTCTGGCTCTCCAACATGGGTGCAGGGTCCCTAGGACTTGAGTTGTCATCTGCTGCTTTTTCAGGCCATAAACGTGGAAATGGGTTGGATATAGAGCAGCAGTCCTGGAACCATCACTCGTGGGATATCTGTGCCACGGGTGGAAGAGCAGCCCCTGTGACACGTTGCCTGAAGGAAATAATTCTTGTTTCTCTCCTTGAATAACCATCACCATTTGCCAGTGGTATGTTGTCACATGCCTGCTGAACTCTGCACAGGTTCTCAGACTTCACTGTAATAATACATGTTGCCTCCTTCATTTCCTCTTCCACAGTGATTTTCATTGGGTTTTTAGTCATCGTAACCACAATATCTCAGTTTCACAAAGCTACATTGTGATCTGATACTGAAGCTGCAAGCTAATTCTAGCTAGGATTTGGCACTATTACTTGAGAGATGTTGCTGCATTTCCCTTGAAGATTTAGCGTTTCCTTGTATGGCACCTTCACGTACTGCTTGGGAGCCAAGAGTCACATGGCATGCAATTTTCAGATGTGTCTGAGTGTCTTGTTCAACAATTGAGGTTTGGCAGGTAGCCCACATTCGGTGGGAAGGAGATAGCATTTGTTTCTCATCTGCCGTGATTTCATATTAATGCATCACAACCATCTTGCGAAATGGGTGGTTCTCATTTTCCCCATCCTGTTTATGACAAGTCGGGGACCTGTAGAATTCGTTTCCTTGCATAAATGGAAGACCTCATGTTTGAGAATTTAGCTCGGCATTCCAGGTAATTCTGTTCCTACTACATTTGATCTTTAATTCTGTTGAGGTCAAAAGTTTTGAAAATTACCTTGGTGTAGCAAATTAGGATTTGCATATGCAACATGTTCAGCCTTTGGCCTCTGAAAAGCAATTCCACAAACTTGGGACAGTCACCGCTTAATATTCTTGTATGAGGAAATTGCTTATGTAATGACAGCTAGAGTTTATGATCATCAGTAGTAAGGCTTCATGTCACTTCATGTTAAGCTGCACTATGACATGCCAAGTGTCAACTACCAGGGAAATGGTGATCCTCTTCTGTCTGTTCCCAGCTGCCTGGGAGAACATCCTGGGAGGCTGCTTTTTTTTGGAAAGCATGCCTGTAAAATCATGTTTGAAAGCTGAGACCATATAGCCAGGAGAAACAGAGCTTGAATTGGAAGGGTGTGACAGGTATCTTTGTATTTCAGCATTCCAAATATTTGAAAGAGGAAATTACACTTGTTTTGCTGTAGCCAAAGGTTGGATTAGTACTGTGGAGTAAATTCAGTGGCAATAACAAACCAGTAGTTGTTGTACCCATTCTAGGAGGCAACAAACTCGTGTCACTGCAGATCCCTGTGAAAATGATACAAGTGACATGATCGAACAGTGTGTCTTCTAACCCCCCTTGAGCCTAAGATTGTGTTTTCCTAACGTTCCGGTTTATCTTTGTTGATGAATACAGCAAAGACTGTGGCCTGTATTCAGTTCACTCACCAACACATTTCTTTCTAGACTTAGTAATTTCAATGTAACATCTAAGTGTTCCATTGGGAACTGAAATCTTCATTTGAGAGACGCAGAGAATGGGACACAGATATCCTGTCTTCGGGTTCAGTCTGTAAACACAACAGCTTGAGCTGAGCCAGGCCAAAGCCGGTGTCAAGAACTCCACACAAGGGGTCTCCAGTTGGTAGAGTTGCAGCACGTGAGCCTCACCTGCTGCTTCTCGGGATGCCCGTCAGCAGGAAGCTGGAGTCAGAAGCAGAGCCAGGACTTGAACCCAGGCTTACTGAGGAAGGATGTGAGCATCCGAGCTGGGGGCTGACCCAGCAAAGCCAAACACCCACCAGCAGCAAAGCATCTTCGCAGGTTGAAGAAATGGAACCAGGTCACAATTCTTACTGGGAAAATCTTTCCCAGTTTCCAAGTGTAGCTCAAATGTAGGTGTAGTCTGCCTTCTCCTGGGAAACCTGGAAAAGCCTTTTAACTTTGTGTTTGCTCCTTGTGTGTATGTGTTGGTGTTCATGTGTTTCTAAGCAGTTGAAGAATTGACCTATACACGTCTCAAATCAACCATCAGTTTACCAATTCAAAATCTAAAATAAATCAAGTCTGAGAGTCCATTCGATTTTCTTAAGTTGCTGTATTGTCTACATAAACATGTGACTGTAATGAACCTGTCCGTGTCTTGGAGCCTCTAGCTGTGAAAGCTCTCCTAACTCCTTCCAATCTTAGTGGGAACCACACTTTCGGTTTCCTCTTGTCTGCCCTCCTGGGCTGTGCTTCCGGCACAGTTCGGCTGTGGCAGACCTTTTGTTTCAAGACTGCCATTCTGTAGTCCTTCTGCTGTGGCCGCCCTTCAAGTCCCTTTCCATCTCTGGGATGGGGAAGAAGTCTTTTTCTTCCCCCTTAACTGGCCTTTCTCCTGCCTTTTCTCAGATTCTGCCAGTTTTCTTTCCCTTCTGTGAAAGCAGATTTTACAGAAAATTCCCTTGCCAGTCAGTTGTAGGTTGTGTATACTGTATAGCAAAGCAAAAAAAAAAAAAAAAAAAGAAAGAAAGAAAATAGTGTTCTGATTTATTGGGAAGACATTTCCAAAGGCCCCTGCAGCCAGCTTAACGGCCTTTATCATTCAGCAGGGCACATGCACCCCCAAAGAGCAGCTTGCCTGCTTCCCGCTGAGCGTGGTGATTACGGAGACGCTGTGTTTTAAGTTAGTTTTGAGTTGTGTATTTCATCTGTGAAGCTGGCAGACACTTAAAAGCCACAAGCTACTGGTTTTTGAAAGCTTCTCTGAACATGAGCATAAAACGTATGTATTGGATTTGGAGGTTGTCCAATAACTGCCCCTTTAATGCAGCTGAATGTAGATTACAGCTGTTTGCCTTGGAAAGCCATGTCTGCTCATAACCTCTCCCTTTCTCTCTCTTCTTGTCCTCAGAGTGTCTCCTCTGCAGAAATCCGAGATAGTAGACGTGGTGAAGAAGCGGGTGAAGGCCATCACCCTGGCCATTGGAGATGGAGCTAATGATGTGGGGATGATTCAGACAGCCCACGTGGGAGTGGGCATCAGTGGCAATGAGGGCATGCAAGCCACCAACAATTCGGACTACGCCATTGCACAGGTCAGTTGCGTGGGTGACCAGTTGTCCCGTCCCGGTGACCATCACGAGCAGCTGGCTTTGAGAGCCTAGCACTTGATAGGCAGTGCAGCCCATAAGAACTCTCTGCTCCTTTGGAGGTCATCATGGGCATGAAACTGCCAGCGTGTTCAGATTTCTCTGTCATTTTGATCTTGCACAATGCGGAGGCCCTGTCCTGCTGATAGGATTTCTCTTAACCAGCTATGGGGCTGGCGACACTGCACTGTCAGCAGGAAAGATTCCCTTCCTGACAGATGGGTCTCTGGTCCCGCTAAAAATAACTTCTCACCCTCCAGTCTGACAGCGGCTGTGTGTGTTTTCCCGATGTCTCACCTACGGAGGCGCAGTTGTGCTGCAAACGCCTGTGTTCTGTCGGTCCTTCCTGGGATCTCTCCTGTCCCACCAGGCACTGGACACACCTTGGGCATTTGGCCAGTGCTTAGGAGGCCCACATCCTGTCTTGGAGTGTCTGGATCCAGTGTAAACCTCCAGCTCCTTACTCCAGCTTCCTGCTAATACAGAGGTAGCCTGGCCAGGGCAATTGGGGGATTGAATTAGTGTGGGGTGAGAGCGGTTCTCTGCATCCCCGTCTCAAATAAAAGAGTGAAGAAGAGAAAGAAGGAGGGGAAAAGAAGAGGAAGAAAGAATACTTCCTGGAAAGGCAATTATTTAGCCCTGACCGGTCTCTAGTGGGCACTGGATACTGCCAGGCCTCCTATTGCAAGATGCTTTGCTCAGAGCTTGAGGCAGGTTTGGGCCACAGTGTTGCCATGGTCAGTAGCAAGCAGCCCCCTGGAGTCAGGCCAGGCTCATTCCTCTGCTCTCCAAGCTGAGCTTGTCATCATCCGTGGAGGCTCCTGATGTATTTCATGCTTACTGCTCAGATGGTTTCAGAGTGAAAGTAATATCTGGTCCTTAATGACAGCCTACAAGGTAAAGGAAAATAGCCCACTCCTGGCCCTAGGTACATGATAAGACCATTTGGGCTACTGAATCATCCAGAAATGGAGCTATCACAGTGAACAGAGAGTCATTCCTGCTGTCCCCAGTTGGCAACAGTGTGTGACAAAATGCCTTCCTATTCACAAAGCGACTTTGTACATATGTTTCTGTGTGGCTCTGGCTTTAAAAGAACATATTAACATTATTATGGAAACACAAGGCATTGTGGCTTTGTCCCTCTTCAAGCTGAAGTAAGAGACTACTTCTAAAATAATGTGAGTGAGCTTCCTGCAGCCTCAGGGTTGCCGCCTGGTTCTCTGCAGGCCTGGACTTCCCTTCCCCAAAGCAGACTCTGTGTTGGATCACCTCTTCGCTTCCTTCCCCGCTCTCAGTTCTGCAAATGTAGGGAGGAATTACGAACTCCATGTGGCTCTGAAAAGTGCATGGAATCAGCCTTGGTCTTTGGTTGACTTCCAATAAATACAGACAGCTCCTGAAGTAGATAAAAGGAGGAATTCTGACTTGACAAAGGTGGGATAATCAGGGTCTGTCCGCATCAGGTCACCTGTCATGAACCCCATGAATGAACTTGGGGGACTGGCCTTGCACACCTGCCCATCTGCTTTCCCAAGTCCACTGCTCCAAGGCCTGGGGGACTTGAGCTTCCTGTGGTCTGTCCACAAATGTAGATGTTATATACCCCAGCGTTATTAAATACTTGAGTTATAACATCACAGGGCTGAAAGAGATCTTAAGAGGTTTCCTAGGAGTTCCAGGAAAATATTTGTCTTTTTCTTTAAAATGTCTAGGGAAAGGAGATTCCATGACCTGCTTTATTGAAACTGCATACTTTAATAAGGTGTACAGTGCGAAGCCATTGCTCTCGTCCAGTTCAGTCTGCAGCGGAGAAGGGCGGAGCAGGGGAGAAGGACTTCCTAACCCCGTTGCAGAGGCTTTCTTGCTCCTTCAGGGAAATAACTGCCTCTGCCCAGGGAACTGTTGTTGACTGGGTGTGTCTGTGAGACCTTGTGTCTCCTGTCCATGAACCCAAGGCAAGGCTGCTGTCACTCCAGGGCCCTGTGTGTGCCATCCTGACACCCTCCCTCCCTGCACTCCCCAAGGCTCCCCGGAAACAATCTCTCTCTCATTCACTGCACTGGGAATGTCACAATGGGATAGGCTCCTCTGCTTCTGCTGCAGCGATAGACTGCTCTGGTTGACGTGCACTGTACCTTTTCATGTTTTGTTTTTAAGATTTATTCATTTTAATTTGAAAGGCGGATTTACAGAGAGAAAAAAGAGAGACAGAAAGTCCCTTCATCCACTGGTTCACTCCCCACATTGGCTACCTTGGCTGGAGCTGGGCTCCCAAGCAGTGCTTTGCAAAGCAGGAAGATACAGAGCTCCAAGATGTGTTCTTGGGAAAGTTGTGTGCGCAGTCCTTGTTCTGTTTCTTCCCTGGCTGCCTCATGCAAGGAAACTTCAGAAAACCCATGCCAAAATGAATTTTAAAGGCTACATTTATTTTGATTGCAAAGGATTTTGGAATCCACACATAGTTGGGTTTTTTTTTTTTCTATAGTAGGCATTTGCCATGAATGCTTTCAAGACTTCCTCATATGCATGAGTTTTAAAAGATTTTTTTCACCAAAATAAATTCATCTTTTAAATCAGGGGTGGGACACATGTGGCCCATGGGCCATATAAGGCCTGTGAAATCATTTGGTGTGGCTCTGCCAAGGCAATGTCAGGTGGGACTTGAAATTCAATAAATCTATAGCAGGCTAATGTTTAAGTTGATAATTTTGTATGGGCCATGAATGATATCATAAATATCCAAATGGCCCTTGGCAGAAAAAAGGGTTCCCCACTCCTGTTTGAAATCCATATGCCTTTCCAAGTTCCCTCATGCCTTTATTGGGGCCGCATGGGGACTGACAGCTGCCATCTGTTTGGCTGCCCTGCCCTGGCCAGTCTTGGCTGCCTCCGATGGTGTGTGATTGCTGTGCCTGTAGCCCTCAGCTTCCTGTTCTACTCAGGAGAGAATTCCTCCTGTGCCCTGCCTTCTGAATGTTCTCTGAACGGCCTCATGAAGACAGCATTGTGATTTAGGATATGCATTTTTAGTTCCTGAAAACAAATCATTCTAGCGCTCCATTTGAGGAATCGGGATGACTCCAACAGATGTTCTGTTGTGCCCCTTGAAGTGAAACTTCAGGGGGTCCAGGTCAAATGCAAGCTTCCTTTTTATTTGGTGAGCGAGTTATTTTATGATTCCCCATCCCCCTGGAGAATCCTTAATGAGCCTTTATGGGGAGTTTGATTTTTCCATCTGCCCCCACTCCTGCCATTTTGAAGTTGTCCTTTAGATTTCCAGGATATGCAGGAACCCACGTGCCTCCCCCAAACCCCCGCCCCGGTCTCCTTTAGGAAGTCACTGAGACACGGATACAGTGCCTTTCCTCAATGCTGGTGGGAATGATTGAGCCCACTGTTCTGGACAAGGGAACATTTTAAAATAAAAATGTCACACTGGTAGTCATAGTCTTGTTAAGTTTAATTTCAAAAGTCGTCTGAAACGTGCAGGAAATTTACAGTAGCACAATTCTCAGGGTTTGGGGATCCACTCAGTGCGGCCTGATTGTCATGTCTCAAGGCATAATCGAGTTAAAGCCGTGGCTTTCCCAGCCACAGGAAGGAGCACTTGCCAATACCATGACTGGCAACAGTGAGTGACACTGTGTTAGGCCTTTGCTCCGACAAGATACTTGAGGCTGGGTGTTTTGTCGAGGAAAGAGGTTTCATGGTTTTGGAGGTCTGAGAGCATGCTGTTGGCACCTGCTGCTGCGAGTGAAGGCCTTCTGACTTGATTTCAAAGATGGCTGATGGTGTGATGGTGGGAATGCACTAGAGAGAGGGGGTCATGTGGCAGACTGAAAGTCAGAGAGCGAGGAAGGTCCTGGACTGCTCTTCTAGAACCTTCTCCTAGGAGCAACCTGAGGTCCCAGGAGGGTAATTCCTTCCAAACTCAGCCCTCCCAGGGATCCCACTGTCTTCCTAGGCTCTACCTATTACAGGTCCCACCAGTAAGCATCCGGCCTCTAACACACACAAGCCCGCAGAGATAAACACCAGCTAAGGTAATCTCAACCAAGTGTGAGGCAAACTGAACACAGAGAAACTATGAACTTAAATAGGATTTTCCCAAAAGTGTGGATTCATGCTAGAACGTAACAGTGCACGCACACACACACACATACCCTCATCTCACTTCCCTCCCTCCTGCTCAGGAGTCAGGCTTTTGGGAATCTTTGGGAAATCAGATGTAGGAGGGCAGACCTGGCTTCAGGGGAGGCAAAGATGATGGAACATGAGAAGGCCCTACTGCCCCTAATGGATCCCTGTGCTTTGCTCTCCTATTGCTGACTCCTGTCTCAGTGGCCATCCCTGCATCGTCAGATCCGTCCTTGACTGCACAGCTTCCTGACTGGAAGTGTGAGGGCAGTGTGTGTGTGTGTGTGTGTGTGTGTGTGTGTGTGTGTGTGTTGCACAAGCACTTAGTGTGAATGTGTAGGAGCCTTTTTAAAGCAAGGATAAGATGGGTCTGTCATGGTGGTGCAGCAGGCTCATCACCTACCCTGTGACGTCAGCATCCCATATGGGTGCTGGTTCGTATCCTGGTTGCTCCATTTTAGATCTATCTCTCTGCTTATGGCCTGGGAAAGCAGTAGAGGTGACCTAAGTCCTGAGGACCCTGCACCCATGTAGGAGACCCAGAAAAAAGCTCCTGGCTCCCAGCTTCAGATCTGCTCAGCTCTGGCCATTCCAGCTATTTGGGGAGTAAATCGGTGGGCAGAAGACCTTTATCTGTGTGTATGATCTGCTTTTCAAATAAAAAAACATTTTTTTTTTAAATAAAGCAAGTGACTGCCTCTTGCTCCTGTTTTTTGTAATAAAACCTGGGCTTATATAAACCGTTTGTTTCCCACTGTACTTTTCTCCCAATTTAGGTAGTCATCTTCTCTTAATTATTGACTTACATGAACTTGTATTATTAGGAGCGTGGGTAACGATTAGCAGTGCAGCAGCACTTTAGAGGACGTAATAGCTAGTGCCCTATTGTTACTGTCTTGGAATGGCTTCCTCTCCCTGACTGGGAGAGCATTTGTTTGTCAGTGCCAGGCTCTTCAGAGCTTGTGGTTTTCCCATTTCAGTTTTCCTACTTGGAGAAGCTTTTGCTGGTTCATGGAGCCTGGAGCTACAACCGTGTGACCAAGTGCATCCTGTACTGCTTCTACAAGAATGTGGTCCTGTACATCATTGAGGTGAGCGCGTCCCTTCCGTCCTCAAGGAGGAAGGTCCTTTTCAGAGGGCGTAGGTGGGTGTTAAAAGTCATCCCAAGTGGGGTTTTGTTCATGGAAAGTTCCACACATGATGCCACGGCGATTTGCATAAGCCTGGGTCCTGCGTAACCTTGCTTTGACACTGGACGTAGATCCCAGGCCAGAGACTCCTGGTGCATGACTGCAGCCAGGAGGCTCTTGCAGCCTTTTTTACCTGACCACCTGTGCCTTTCCCCATCCTCTCCATGTCTGTGTTCCCTGGTCCCTACATCATGTTGTGTCTCATTGGGCAGGGTAGAATGTTGCTGGCATGCAGAAGAGGGGGATCCCTCTTCTGGGGCTGTTTAAAGCCTCGCTAGCAGGTGTCCTTACCTTTCTTGATGGGCAATGAGATATTTCTAGGCAGCATAGTCTGTGTTTTCTTTCCTAAATCAGCAGGGTCTGATGTCTGCCTCTAGTTCTCATGAAATCTGTAAGTCCTCTGAACACGCATCCACTGCCTCTAGGCTTGTAGGGGCCAGGTGCAGGAATGAGTGGCGGAGTGTAGTAAACAAGCAAGATAATTTAGAATGTTATGTGAGCACCTATTCTGTTGTCCAACAGTTTTCCCAAGGTGTGGATTCAGTTAGCAAACAAGCCTACTTGTTCCAGTGAGGGGCCCAGGAAACTGTGGAAAAAGCTCTTGGAATTGGATACCAGTGGGTACCAATGGACACACAGGCCACGTCGTTAGTCCTTGGGAAGGACAGCTCTCAAGGTGCGGGTTTGGATGACCCACTTGCTGATTAGATTTCCACACGTATTTAGAGGAAGCAGGCAATCACCTTATGGTGGGAAAGAAAAACTGTATCGCTTCTGGTGTATTAGTATCTCATTGTGGCATTACCTTATGTCTGACTTCTTAGCTCTTAATGAAAATAATAAGCAAGGCAAGGATCAGCTTTTTCTGATTTAATCTCCTAAAATGCTTTGTTCAGGTCATTTAACAAGTGGCTTGCTCTTGTGCCTGTGACACACCACTTCTTTACCAAGTTGTCTGATCTTTCCTGTTGAATCATGCAAGTCACACATACAGATTCATGTTTGTTGGTTGGTAACTAAATCAGTGATGGTTTTCCCAAGTTGTACAGCCCTTTTCTTTAAAAAAAAAAATCATGTATTTTAAAGTCAGAATTACAGAGAGAAGAAGATACATGCACACAAAAAGAGGGGGAGAGGGGTATCTTCCATCTGCTGGCTCACTCTCCTGGAAGCTGAGACCGAGCCTGAGTCAGGAAGAAGCTAGGAACCAGAATTTTATTCTAGACATGCTGCATGGGTAGCAGGAACCCAGGGACTTGGGACCATCTTCTACTACTTTTCCTAGGCCATCAGCATCTTTGCTGGGTTAGAAGTGGAGCAGCCTGGACTCAAACCTGTGCCCGTAAGGGATGCCCGTGTCACAGGTGGTGGTATTTACCCACTACACCACAGCAGATTGTTTACTATACAGAAATACCCAGCCAACAGGATAGACAGAACCAAAATGGAGCCTTTGCTTCTCTGCCACTCAAGGTGCTTGACACCTGCCTGGAAACAGCTGTGTGTTTTTCTGATGTGCACAGAAGGCAGCCTCGTGAGGATGTGTCCCCAGCATGCAGCTGTGCAGGGAGCAGGCCTCTTCCTTGGGCACACAGAAGCTCCTGGCCAGCCAGGGAGCAGCTTTGGTTCTCTAGGAGTGTTGGAGGCAGTCACACAAGACCTGGTTTACATCGTGAAGTTGGCCTGTTCCTCCGCCTTTAAATGCTGTGTGTGCTTATATTAAACAAAGAACTATTATTTCTCTAAAAAGAAACTAGGCAACCGAGTCTTGAGAGATTTGGAGATGCGTTTGTTCTTTGCTAAGTGTAGTGAGGGTGAAGCCAGCCAACTTTCAGCAGCCTCCATAAACTTTCTGCTTGTCTTGTGCTGTGATCGTCAACTTCTTGCTTATTTGAAGACTTTCTGGGCATTGGGGGAGAGATGTTGACATTTCTGTCCTCTGTACAATTTCTTTGTGGCAGTTTAAGATATTTGCTCCTTTCCTCCTCCTGCCCCCCCCCCTTTTTTCTTTATCCGTGATGGGAGTCACTGGTAAGTGTCACTCGGGGTCTTAGATAAGGGGGTGCAGAGATGTCTGGTCCTAGGTGCCATCCCAGACATCCAGCGTTGTGGACTCCTGTAGCTATTGGCTTCACAAGGCTTCTTAATGATCTGGTTTTCCTCACCATCAGCGACCTGCAGATAGTCTAGTCTCCTTATCGAGGGGTCTGTGCAGAGTGCCCAGCCCCTTCTGTCGCCACGGCATCGCGGGGGCCCTGCTGAGTCATTTGCAGCTATGCTCATGCCATTTCTTCCAAGGCCCACGTGGGCTGCGGCTGAAGGCACACAGCATTAGCCTGTCTGGAAAGCTGTACTTGGAACAATGTCCTGAAAGGGCCCCGCGAGTCGCTCAGATGTGTTTCACAGTGGGAGTGGAGCCGTTGTTCAGTGGCCTCCCAAGAATGACCTTTTTGGATAGTATTTATCAAGTTAACCAGTCTCTGCCAGCCTGAGCTCAGTTTTCCTTTAAGTCTAAGAGATATTAGTTTGAAAACTCAGAAAATGAGATCCTTGATGGAGCCCAGATGGTTAGACCGTAACTTAGTGTCTAAGATTGCCAGGGTATTTCCTTGGCATCCAAGTGTACTTCAAATAGGAAAGTCCTACTTGCCTGCTGTTTTACTGTGTTCTGAACTGCAAGATCAAAGGTTCTTTTCAGTGGTCTTGCTTTCTTGCAAAGAATGCTTCGTTCCAAAGGTAGCCTTATAATCAATTACTTATGCCAGAGCAAGTTGTAATGACAATGAATTAATATAAGAGAACAAACTAAATGTGTTACTTATTTGTTTTAGCATGTTTTGTTGTAACTGAGAGATCCTTCGCAGTCTCATCTCAAATGTCCTCTGATATTTAAAAATAAGTGTCCAGGGACCAGTGTTGCAGCATAGTGGGTTAAAGACTCTACCTGCAAGACCAGCAACCCATTTGGGCACCTGTTTGTGTCCTGGTTGCTCCACTCTGATCCAGCTGCCTGCTGATGGCCTGGGAAAGAAAAAAAAAATGTCCTGAGTGCTTGGATCCCTGCCATCAATATGGAAGACCCAGAAGAAGCATCTGGCTTCTGGCATTTGTGGCCATTTGGGAAGTGAACCAATGGATGGAAGATTCTCTCTCTTTCTCTCTCTCTCTGCCTGCCTCCTTCCTCCCTCTCCTGCTCCCTCTCTAATTCTGCCTTTCAAATAAATAGTCTTTAATTTGAGAAACTGTTTTTGAATTAAATACACTTATGTACACACACATATGCACATACAGATTTTATGGCCTTAGCCTGTCTTATGAGGATCATTATGCAGTTTAGGTTACTAGTGAAGAGCTGCATACCTGCGATGTAATATATTTTTCTCACTTGGTATCCTAGCCTGTAATGGTGAATTTCTGGACAGTGAACACATGGGTGTGTTCTCCTTGCCATATGGAACTGGCTGAAAGTTCCCCTTTCACCTCCACCTGCTGTTGTGTATTATCTGCCCTGATGTTCTACTAACAGAAATATTTGAATGTGCAAACAGATGGCTGTTTTCAGATAAGGGTCTCCATGCCAGACAGTGCTCCATGCCAGACAGTGTTTCGGTTCCTATTCCTCGGTGTGCTTTGCAGGTCTTCCCTTGATACTGCATAGAGGTTGTGCTGCAGCACACAGGGGGATTTCCTGCATTGAGGAACGTCCACAACATCTCCAGCTTCACCCACAAGGAGGAATATAGCCTTCCTTCTATTCAGATCATGTGTGTTCCACCAAAAGGCTATTGATTTAATTTGAATGTTTTCACCATAGTGCCTTGAACATGCTCAACTTACATATATATATATACACATATATGTATGTTTTTATATATATATATTTGTAACATAGGCTCTTTGTTGCTGAGGGGTTTCACATAATACTTGATGTGGGTACTACATACATTCTATTCAGGCCATAGTAGCCATTGCTACAAGTAATTAAAAAAAGAGCAACCCAGTGGGAACAACACAACTTGGTTTTATGATGACCCTGTGCATAGCAACCTTTGTCCCCATCCTCATGGTGCAGCATTGATGTACAGTTTTACCCGGGCAGAGAAAAGCCACTAGTGAGGTTTCCTCACTCATCTTTAATGCAGGATGTAGAAGATGGCTGACAATGACCTCTGCTCCTTTATAGGGTTTGGGCAGATTTGTGAATGGGTGAATGCCACACTGGCTTCAAGCCCTTCAAGGGCGTCCTGCTGTTTTCTGATTGGATCCCGTCTCTCTGCCCACCAGCTGCTTTGTGGCCTGGGCCCCAATTCGCAGCAGCTTCTTGCTTCCACTCTATTTTGTTTTTATTAGTATTGTTGAAGCTTAATTAACATACGGCAACATGGACCTTTCTTTATGAGGAAAACTGGACTTTTCGTAAGAAACCAAAACTGGCAGTTCTCGGTGTGCCTCCCACAGATGATTACAGGAGCATCATTCCCAGCTTTGGGCGTGCCCGTTGCTGAGGGTGGCACAGGGATGGGAATGGGCTGGAGCCGTAGAGAATCCTGGAAACATGCTCTTGGCTGAGGCGAGGGTGGTAGTTTGTGTGCTGTATTCTTTAGTTTTATTTATAAAACACCAGCAAAAAAAAAAGTGAAAGAATTCCACAAACTCTTTGTGCTTTCATCACCTGAAGAAACACAAAGTTAGAAGGCAGATGGCATGCTTCGGGGAGCTCACTGAAAGTTTGCGAATTAAATTTTACCCCTAGTTTGTTTTCTATTAATCCATGACATGCTCAATTTCATGGCCCTAGCCAGATGTACTTCCATTTTCAGAGGTAAAATCCTGTGTTGGGCTGGGTCTCCCGGGTCTCCCGATCCATGCAGAGGGACTCCTGACAGCCAGTTAGAGAAGAG